GAGCCTCCCAAAATAGTCAGAGCCATTCATGTTGGTGAACCAGGATGCCACTTTTTTGCAACTGCATGATTTTGTATTGTTTTGTTTTGTTTTTGCTACCCCTGAATCAGAAAGACCTCTCTTAAATGAGCCACTGCATGCCACCAGCAAGCTAAGCCCAACTGAAAACGAAAATGAGGTTAAACTTTCATTTTTTCTTAGGTCTAGAATTTCTTTTTAAGCTTTCTCAGGTTTTGCATATATATATAGTCAACCATGTTGGGGGCCAATCTATTGAGGGAAGTTGCTTGTCTATAGTAGGAGGCTGTTTGTTCATTCCTAGCTGCCCAGACCTCAAAATAATCACTCAGAAACTATATTATATAAATCACTGCTTAGCCAATCACTTAAGCATGTTGCTAGCTGGCTCTTATATCTTTGGTTAACCCATTCTATTATTTTATATTTTGGGCTTGTGGCATACCAGCAAAGTTCCAGCTGACAGCTTGTGTCTTTCCCCTCTGGCAGCTCCATGGCATCTCACTGACTCTGCCTACTTCCTCCCAGCATTCAGTTTAGTTTCTCCACTTAGCTATATTCTGACCTATCACAGGCTAAAGCAGTTTCTTTATTCATGAGCCAATAAAAGCAACACATATACAGAAGGACTTCCCACACCAATCTTCAAGAAAGGAAGTATGAAGTTTAAGTTCTAAAATACTGAACAACCTCGGTAATGACTGTAACTGCTGCCATGGTTATACTTTGGATATCCCTAAGGAATTGACTAAGGTGTAAAATAAAACCCAGAATTATAGAATCTACAACCCCCTAAGACAGAGGAAAAAGAGAGTTCAGAAAAGAGAAAAGTATGCTGTTCAGTCTTCAAAAGTTGCTTTATAATTGGAGAAGAAAGAACAGAAAGAAGAACACTATACAAAGCCATTAACTAGTTCAAACTCAGCTCTGAGAAGCACATAGGTACTGAATCAAACTCAGTGAAGCATGTCGGCTCCCTGTGACTGTCAATGCCTTTCAGAGTTAGGAACAATTAACTGAGAATGTAATTGTCCATGTACCTGAAGGGAAAGAGTCATCAGTTCTGAGGCCAAGTGCCAAGAAATATACCACCAGTGGATGTCTCATAAAGGTTAGTACACATACCATTGGGCCAGGTCAGTAGGAGACTTACTACTCTCCATGTTTGCATATCACACCTAAGAATGATCTTAGGCAATGTATGGCTTCAGTCATGCCTAATTACAAAATTGCACACTGACACGGGGTGTCAGTATAATGCAGTTAACCATAGGTTCTTCCTATGAATATAGCCCACTAGAACATATGAGGGGATAAAGGGAACTAATGCAAAAGGGTGAGTTACATTGTGATAGGACATGAGAGGGCAGGGTAGATTAGGGCATAGAGAGAGATGGTTAACATTAAAGACCTATGGAAAAAGCCTTATGGGAATCTACTACTCTAAAAGCTTACTAGAATATATACATATATAAAATGTTTAATGAAGTTATATTACTAATGGAAGGGGTGCAAAGCCATAAGTAGATACCTCATACTAGCAAGTACAAACCTCAGTAGCAGTAATACCTTACGTCATTTTAGTTTCTACCCAGTGAGGGCCCATAGACTGACTCTACTTACTACTTTACAGACTGTTGCTGGTAACTTGTCTACTTTCCAGAGCTTCATTGTAAGACTCTATTTCTGTAGACACCAATTCTTATGTCATAGACCATGGAGAAATCTAGGAGGTGCTCACCTGGACACCTCATCCCTACTGGCCAGCCCTTGTGATACTGGAAGGTGCTATGCTATGTACACTGCTGAAGGAGAAAAATACTCACCAACCTCACCTAGTTCTGAACACAGCAACCTACAACAAACCCTGGCTTAACAAAAAATGCCCACTGGTGTGATAGTGGTACAAATGTATGGGAGCAACTGCCCACTTTCTGTTTGGATTTAAGGTCCTTCTCTATGGGACAAAGTCCATGCCTAGCACTGGTGGAAAGGAGAGAATGTGTATCTAGATAGTACTATTGTTCTGCTAAATGGACAAAGCAACGCAGAGATGACCAATGACTTCTTGCTATACCTATATCAATATGTCACTCCTTCCTCATCTGAGAAGCTTCTCCTCACTGTAGATTGTTAACACAGAGACCTGCAAGTGATAAATGGTGCTGCAAGTAAGAAACTAGTGTTTGCTCAGCATCACCTCTCAGGGGAGAAAGAAACGGTTTTCTTCACATAACCAGACTTTAAACACTTGAACTCATAACTGCTGACACAGCATGCACAGCCATGGGAAAGCTCAAACCAGACCGAAACTCATCATGCAAGAGAAGGATGTATGAAATCCAACCACTAGCTGAGAAGTTATTAGCAGTTGATAGCTTCTGAGAGAAGGAATGTCAGCTTTCTTTAGTGTTACCCTTGCTGTGTTGACCACACGCCATTGTCTAGAGTAGCTGGACTACACAAAATGGAGATGATGGCAGTAAGAAGCCAATAAAAAATAAATCAAAGTTCGGTGCAAATATGGATGAGAGTAGAAAGAGAGGCATAGTGGATGAATGACAGATGTTGCTAAGCCTCTGAGTGAGGATCATTGATGCATTGGATAAACTTTTAGAAGAACTAATAAAGATGATATTTTGAAGAAGGCATCATTTTGAAAGACACAAGCAAGTCTGCAAAGACAGGTATTATGTGCTTGCTCTCCTCTGCTGATGCAATGGATGAAGGTGAATACACGCTATATGCATATATTTAAATATTTAATGAAATGATGAAACCATTTACCTTTTACAATATATATGTTAATTATAATATTTTCAAAATTGCGGCTACTAATTCAGACAGCACTGGCACCAGATTCAGAGCAGCCAAATTTCATTCCTGGCTGAGACACCAAAGGGGAGCTCCTTCCACAGAAGCTTCATGAGGAACAGTCACATGTGTACAAGGTGCAGGACACACATTCTTAAGAGTGAACCTTCAAGACCAGAGACATGTGTGCACAGACATGAATGCACACACATTGATCCTTTCTAGATATCAGCTATTATTATTATATTTCATTCTCTTAGTTTTGTGATCTTTTAATGCAGATGACCCTGAATACAGCTTTCATATTTTTATCCTAACATTTAAGGATTTTTATGAGTCATATGACAGGCTTGAACATGAAGTTCTAATATTTTCAAGCTCTTCAATTAATTTAATATTTTAATGTAATATAATCTATGCCATTAGAAAAGGTTCATGAAAAAAATCAAAATTTATTTTAACATATAACAGGAGGTTCCATGCAGGCCTCTTATTCCTTTCCGGGAATCCCTTTCCCACACATTTCTACATTTAACAATATTTTGCTTGGTTTTTTTTTTTTTTGATGCTCTTGTTGGTACTGGAGGTATTGTGATATTGATTATGGAAATAGTGATGAACTTGAATATGATGTTCTTAGTGGGGTAATGGTAGAGAGGGTGGCAATTATAGCAGAGGTAGGCAGTACCAGCTGCTGTTGTAGCTTGTGGTGATTGTGACAATGATTCCGGTACTGGTAATGATGATAGGGATGTTGCAGCTGGAAGTGGGGATGGAAACGAGGTGGATCAGCAGCTTCTAAACCTATCACTTACTTAATTAGTAATAATTATGTGCCTCAGACTATGCCGCTCAAATAGTATGCATTAGTTCAATTATGACCAAAGACAAGATGTTAGCATACTTAAGGAGTTCAGACAAGTAATATTAACAGGAAAATGTTCAACTCTCTAGCCAGGAAAGAACTAAAAACTAAACATACACGAAAAGACCATTCTATCCATGTAAGATTGAGTACAATCAAAATAATAACCTGTCCTGGCAGAGGAGTAGAGGAAAAAACTGTCAGACTGTGAGAGAGGAGAATAACCCATCAAGTGTGGAAATCAGTGTGGGGTTTCCTCCAAAGAAATAACACTAAGGTAGAACTATCATGTGGTTCACCAGCATTACATGGGTTCATATGAAAAGAAGTGAAATATAGTATACAATAGAGATGCCTACATGTCCATCTATATTTCAGAACTACACCTAATAATGAAAGTTAAATAATTGGTCTCATGGCTCAACAGTGAATGAATGGGAGAATAAAATATGGCGCTAAAATGAATCATAAGGAACAATGATATCATGTACTCAGCAGGTAAATAAATGTAACTGCATGTCATCATGTTGAGAGAAATGTTAAATACAAGGTTGGCACCGATGTTTCAGATATTGAAGGGGGAAAATGTAATAAGGGTAGGTTGTTGTAGATGTGTAACTATTACATCAGATGAAGGGAAAAGTAAGGTACATGTGGGTGTAGGGAGAAGATGTGTAAGAGGTGTAATAAGTGACCCATACATATCTGAAGATAGATTAATCTTAAGCTATCACGTGCTACAAGAGAGATCATAATTGTGCAAAATGAAATTATGTCTCTCTCAAGCAAGCAGTCTCTAAACAATCTTTGTTATGAACCAAAATGCAATCAAAATCTGATACAAAAAAATAACCTGGGGATCAAAGAATGAAAGTAAAGGAACAGGAGAATATCAGGAAGGTCATAGAATCAGTTTTAGGAAAAAAGATCACATAAATACTATCAACCAGAGTGTAGTTTATTCAGGAAATAAAGCCACAGTGACATCAAAACAAACAAGACTGAGAGTTTTGGAAACATCCTCTGAGTGCACAGGGTGGAAAGATGCTGCTCATCACTGAGCATCTGGGACACTGAACCAGTGAGGAAGGACCATTCTCAGCCTCCCCTTGAGAGCAGAAGCAGAACAATCTCAGGGGAATGTGTTCTCTATGAGGAAACATCACAGACACATGGAGAGAGAAGGGTGGACAAGATTCTTCTGCATCCATGGCAGGCTTTGAAGTGAGATGGAAATATTTCTGTGGAAGTATGGGAGACAGATTTCCTCCTCTTCTCTTGGTCCTGGTGACGGTTGAAGCACTCACTTGCTCTTGGGTGGGCACTTCTGCTGGCAGGGTGAAGGAGGTTGCACAGGAGGGCATTTCTGCTGGCATGGCTCTGGGCACTTTGGAGGAGAACAAGGCTCAGGGCACTTCGGAGGAGGGCAAGGCTCTGGGCACTTTGGGGGAGGACAAGGCTCAGGGCACTTCGGAGGAGGACAAGGCTCCGGGCATTTTGTGGGTGGGCACACAGGAGGAGGCTGGCAGGGCTGCTTGCACTGCTGCTCTTGGTAAGACATCGTGCTGAAGTCTCAGGATCTGGAAGACATTACATGAGAATGTTAGGGGATGATCATCAGAGAGAAGATAGACAGAGACATGGAACATCACATCCATTTCTCTCTCCACACATACACATATCCCCAACTCTTCTTTTAGGACAGCCTGGTTTTTCCCTTTCCTGTCAGCAATGTGTCACCTGCCTTGTGAGATATTCTTTGTTTGATGCTTTTTTTTTCAGGAGAAAATATTTGTTCCACTGAAACATAGATGTTTCACAGAGAAACGTCTTCAATACAGGAGTCTTAAGGTCTAAAGTCCTGGGCACCCTCAGAACAAATATCCCTGACTCTCTTGTCACTGTGACATCCCAGCAGGTTGTCTGGGTGGCAGAATAGAGGACAGCTCAGGAAAACCAAGTTCTAACACCTACTATGTCATGGGACTATGAAAAGACACCAAAGATGCATATGAAAGAGAAATACACTGTGTTCAATTGCATACTAAATAAAAGGAAAACCACCACACGCCATCCCTAAAGCTTGACTGCAGCACATAAGCAGACCATAAAGACAGACCAACTCAAGAAATAACACTCACCGGGTCTCCAAAGTAGTCTAGGACTTGATTACCAGGAATCTGCAGACATGCAGCCAAGGACCTCTTTATAGCACTGACTGCCCCGCCCAGAGGGAGTAGAGCTGACTGACAGTGGGCAGGTCCAAGAATATCCCAAACAAAATGCAAATCCATGCATGACTCGCTTGACTGGGACTCTACATCATGCGAAATACCCTATCTCTGGATATCATCACTATAGAGTGCAGTGACTCAGTGGGTCTTTCTGCCTCTTTGGTTTCAGCCAGACATCCCTAGCTGTCTATGTTGCCTTTCTTGATTGAAGACAGTATTTTCTTTCCCAATTACTCCTCTTGTTTCTTGTTTCTTCTTCCTCAGCTCACTGATACTCTTTGGTTCACAGCCGTTTTTATTTCTGCTTTTAGGCAAATTTGCCTGACATTTGTGCTGACAGGACAGTCTTAAGGGAACTTTAGCTGTGCTTTCAGGTTCATCGTTGACAAAACTGTTCTGAGGAGCATGTCTAGTCTGTTGGATAGCTTTAAATCTTTTCTGTACAAATAGAAAATCAAATATGCTGTTCATAGGGAAGGGTGTTGGGCTTGAACCTTATCCTGACCTTCGTCAGTACTGCCATCTCCAACTACATATTTGGGGTATATGTTTAGATTCCCCTCTAATGATTTTCATATGCCTGCTTATCATGACAATAGAAGAACTAAAATCGTATCTAACCTAACAACTGCCCCAGGCATGTTCCTGCTTTGGTGGTCAGCATGAAGACTCATAATCTCCCACACTTCTCTTGTGTGAAGAGCTGTTGAACCCACCTTGGCTGTGGTACACACCAACTGGAGCTCTGACATCTGCCAAAACACATAGTATACTAACTCATTCATACATATGTGCTCATTGTTGCACATGCACCAGACAGACAGACAGACACAGATAGACAGATCCTAAGTCTTACATTTTTATCTGCCACATAACTGCATTCATCACTTCCCGGTTTTCTGATGCATATTAATGATTCATTTCTGCTTGAAATCTGACAGAAGGAATTAAAATTGGGTGTTTTATAGTTCTTGATTGACCTTTGAACACTTTGAGAGAGTCTAAGACTCTGTTCATGTTGGAGGAAGACAAGGCTTGGAACAGTTTGAGAGTGTACAGAGCTACGAGCACTTTTTGGTGGGCACACAAAAGGAAGCTGGTTGAACTATTTGCACTGCTGCTGTTGGTTAAACATTCTGAAATCTAAGGATCTGGAAGATACTATATGACAGTTCTCACAAGAGATGATCCCCACAGAGAAAGGATCTCAAGTTTATGAGCTATCAGAACTCTTCCTCAATTCCGTCTCCACCTCCAGACTTCCCGACTTTCCATTCCATGTCATTCCATTGTTTCGTTAACCTAGGAAATCAACCTTTTTCTTCATGTTTTTCATAAGAAAACATCTGTCTTCCAAAGGACAGAGTAAGTGATCTTATAGAAAACATGATCTTTTAGAAAGGCAGTCTGAACTTTAAGTTCTAAAATACTGAGCAGCCTCAGTGATGACAGTAACGGTTGCAATCATTACTACTTTAGATGTCCTAGGAAACTGACTTGGATAAAAACAACAGCCAGAATTCAAGAATTTGGAACCTCCTAAGAAGGAAGGCAAAAAAGAGTTCAGAAAAGAGAAAACTATTCTCTTTAGTCCTGGAAAGTTGCTTTGTAATTGGAGGAGAAAGAATAGATGAGGATCATGAAGCAAAGTTATTAACTATTCAGAGCTCTGCTCTGAGAAGCACATGGGCACTGAATCAACATCAGTGAAGTGTATCAGCTTCTTGTGACTGTCAGTGCTTCTGACAGTAAGGAAGGGTTTAGCCAAGACTGCCCTTGTCCATGTCCCTAGAGGAAAAGAGTCATCAGTTCAGCACCTGAGGCCAGAGGCTGACCAACACATGACCAGAGGATGATTCACAAAAGTTAGTACCCATACTACCAGTCAGGCCAGTAAGAGACTTATTACTCTCCCTATTTGCATATCAAATATAAAGGATCATCTTAGGTCATGCCTGACTTCTGCTGTGTCAATTACGGCATTGCCTACTGACCTGGGAAGCCAGTATAACACAGAGTCTGTTACACCTATGTTCTTTTGAATATAGTCCACTTAGAAGGGTATAAAGTGTTAAAGGGGAGTAATGCAAAGAGAAGACATGCTTTATGATGGGACATGGGAGGGCAGGGTAGAACAGGGCATATAGAGAAAGATGATTAACAGTAAAACCTTTTGAAAAAGTGCTGTGCAGTGGTGGCGCACGCCTTTTATTCCAGCACTCAGGAGGCAGAGGCAGGTGGAGCTCTGACTTTGATGCCAGCCTTGTCTACCAGAGCTAGTTCCAGGACAGGCTCCAAAGCTACAAAGAAACCCCACCTCAAAAAAAAAAAACCAATAAAAAAGTCATATGGAAATCTACTACTCTAAAAACTTACTAAAATATATACTTATAAAATTATGTTAATGGAGTTACCTTACAACTGGAGAGGTACAATACCACCAGTACATACCTCGTATTGGCAACTGCAAACTTCAGTAACAATAATACCTGATTTTTTTTTTAGTTGTTGGTCAGTGGGTTACAATAGGCAATCTCTGCTTGATGGAGGTGGGTCATCTGTCTATGTGTTACTTTCATTGGTTAATAAAGAAACTGCCTTGACCCTTTGATAGGACAGAAAATTAGGTAGGCGGAGTAGACAGAACAGAATGCTGGGAAGAAGGCAATGAGGCAGACGCTATAGCTCTCCTCTCCAAGATGGATGCAGGCTAAGATCCTTCCCGGTAAGCCACCACCTCATGGTGCTACACAGAATATTAGAAATGGGTTAATCAAGATGTGAGAGTTAGCCAATAAGAGGCTGAAACTAATGGGCCAAGCAGTGTTTAAAATGAATACAGTTTCCGTGTAATTATTTTGGGTAAAGCTAACCGGGTGGGTGGCAGAAAGTGGCCCACCGATCCCTCTACATCTGCTAGCTTACAGACTATTGACTGTAACTTGTCTACCCTCCAGAGCATCAAAGTAAAATCCTATTTCTATGGACATTAAAGCTTAAGTAAGAAAACTTGGAGAAATATAGGAGGTGCTCACCTGGACATTTCATCCCTACTGGCCAGCCCACGTGATATAGAAAATGCTGTGTATACTGCTGAAGGAGAAAAGTATTCACCAGCCTCAGTCAGTACTGAACACTGCAAGGTACAAAAATGGCTGGCTTGACAGGATATGCCCACTGGTGTAACAGTGGCACAGCAGTTGGGAGCAACCAACCACTTTCTTTTTTTGGATTTAAGATCCTTCCCAATGAGACAAGGTAAATACCCAGCACTGGTAAAGGGGTGAGAATCTACTGCTAGATAGGACATAGGCCCTGGATGATCATCCAATCAATATTATAATTCTCCTAAATAGAAAAATCAAACCAGTCATTTCTAATGACTTATTGCTATACTCGTATTGATATATCTCTCAATCCTTATCTGAGAAGCTTCTCATTGTAGTAGATTATAACACAGAGACCCTCAATTGATCTACAGTGCATAAAATAAGAGACTTGTGTGTGCTCAGCATTACCCTCACAAAGGAGTTGGCAGAAAGAGCATAAGAACTAGAAGTAGAAACTCTTTTCTTCACATAACTGGGCCATTAAATGTTTGAATTCATAACTATTGACAAAGTATGCACAAGTCATGTAAAACCTTATGCCAGATGAAAGCTCAGCCTACATGAGAAGGAAAGTGCATAATTCCACCACTAGCTGTTGAGCTATTAGCAGTTGATAGCTTGTAAGAGAAGGCATGTGAGTTTTAATGATGTGAGCCTTGCTATGTTACCACACTCCAGGATAGACCCCACTGTCTAGAGTGGTTGGACTACACAAACTGGAAATGATGGGGCACAGAGAAACAAATAGAAACAAAATCAAATTTAAGTGGGAAGAGAAGGGAAGGCACAATGAGTAGATAAGGACAGTTTTTGGTATCCCACTGAGTGAATATCATTGAAGTATGCTATATGAAATTCTCAAAGAATTAATAAATATGATGTTTTAAAGAAGGCATGCTATTAAAGGACACAAACAAGTCTCCAATGACAAGAATCATATGCTTGCTCTCATATGTCGAATGCAGTGGATGAGGGTGAGTACAGTCCATCTGCATATATTTAAATATTGTGATGAAATCCTTCACGTTTACAATGATATATGCTAATTACACTATTTTCAAAATAGCCGCTACTAATTCTGCCAACACTGGCACCAGAGTCAGAGCAGCCGAATCTCAGTCCAGGCTGAGACACCAAGGGGAGTTCCTTCCACAGAAGCCCCATGGAGAACGGTCAAAGGTGAACAGGGCGCACAGAACACTTTCTCAAGAGTGAAC